CGGAAAGCGCGGACAGGCACACGATCCTCCATCTCTCCCAGGAGTCCAACGTGTAGCCGGCCGGGAAGGTTCCGTCAGGGCAGCCGGGTTCTCCTTTACCCATTTTCATGGTTGAGAAAATTTGATCAATTGCGTTGAGAGACCAGTTGACCAGATCCATCATTTTGGTTTTGGAGGAAAATGCAGAGAGACAAGACATAGAGCAGTAGCAGGGCAGATAAGGGCAGGAAGGGAGGAAGGGAGCAAGGGAAAAAGCGTCCGCCTTCTTCGAGAGCAAGTGTGTCATCATTTTCTCAATGCATCTGTCCACTGTTGAATCCTTTGTTCTTCTCTCCACTCTTAGCCGTACTCCTGATATTTCTCTGTATTTCTCAGTACATTTGAAAGCATCAGCATGGGCTCAGGACAAGCTCCACCACCAGGATATTCACTGGAAAAGACATTTAAAAAAAGGATAAGGAGAAAATAGGATTTTCTTTTCTGCCCTGGCCCCTTGTGTATATCACTGTATGACGTATGCCTCCGCTATGCTTGCCCTTTAGTTCCAGTGCATGATGGAACAAGACTTTATGGGAACTGGTGACGTACCCATAGGTCAAAACGTCATAAACAGAGAACCCTCTATAGCACTTCTTGTAATGTGTACATAACACACACAGATAAGGAGATAAATGATCTCATTTCAAACGCGGTTCATAAGAAAAAATGTGCATGATAACTTTTGAGAAGTAGTAATAAATGAAAAATCCATTCCAAATGTCTTCAATGATGTCAGAGCTCATCAGTTATGATGTTTAATAATTTAGTTCTGCCGCCAGTTAAATACTAGTGGTCTCATGTTAAACTCCAAAAAGAAACACTGGGAATATGGCTGTAAATGAAACCTGTCTTAAAGGCAACTTAAAGGTAACAGTAACAGTGGTGTGAAGATGGAGATCAGAGACAGTTAAATCCGCTCTATCCTGTTTGCCTGCATCTTGAAGCATTATTTTCCCAGCGTCTAATTTTTTCTCCATATAAAAGCCAACTGTGTTGTGATTCGCTGCTCTTGTGGAGATACAGATGTTTGCTGTCAAGAGATTAGAAGCAATAAACAGGCAAGCAAGGCATTAGATTATATGTGACTGTGAATGTGTATGGAAAGGTGTGTGTGTGTGTGTGTGTGTTGCGTTTACAGGCTGACCTCACTTACTGTATGTAAGTGTGACTGTAAAGCTACATGAGCTGCTTGTAGTGTGTCAAGGGCAGAGATCAGAAAACAGGTTGAGACAAAACAGCGTCGTACACAAATGTGAGGTCCTGAAGTTTAGCAGGTTTGTCGTGTTTAGCTCCAATTTATTATTTATTATTATTTCGCACATCTGTTGTCATTGAGCTGTTCATGCAACAAATCAAAATGTAACACTGCCCTGCAGATCCTTTCCTGCAGTCAACAAACAACTCTCTTCCATCTGTCTCTAAAAGAATACTTGTAAAATCTCCATTACTGACAATATCACTTTTCAGACAGCTTTTGCTAAAGAGTTTGATTTAAAATAAACATAATAATTGCTGGAGAGAACTAATTTTCAGAAGTTACTTATTTTAAAATACCTATAACTGTACTGCGGGATTCTCTTCTGTGTGTTCCCTCTCTTAAGGTCAGACCATAAACTACTACCAGCTCCAGGTTACTGATCATTAGAGTTGAGAATCAATATATAGATATAAAAATAATAGAAACCCTAACAGGTGTTCCAGGCTGCTCCTGGTGAAAAAACAAAGTAAAAACAAATCTGTTAAAGAAGTGGCACAAAATTACAAAAGAAAAGAAAAAGGAAAAAGAAAAGAACTGTGAAAATGTTCAGCGCTCACTGGGGACCAGTACAATTATCTTCACTGTTCATTCATTATACTATTTTTCGTGGATATAAAGCAGTGGAAATAAATAAATACCCAAATGTGGCTTACACTGGACATCATTGAAGAGTGTGTATACAGAGCGGAAAGTTTTAAGCTGTGTACAGTCAAAAGAAAAACTCTATAACCATGCCACAAATTAAATGGACCTGTTTTTAGGTTGGCCTTTGGGATCTTTGGGATCTAATATTCTAATTTGTGACAAATCACCTTTTTTTGCTCATTTGCCTCTTCAAACCTGCTCTGATTTGTTGCTCAAAACTGGGCTTTAAAAAAAAAAAAACGATATACATTTTCATTGTACAGTCTCGTTGGTCTGTTACCCAGGCTGCCTCTGTGCATTCTCTCTCTCTTTTACTTCCCTTTTGTCCTCTCCTCAATTTTTCCACTGGTCAAGTTAATGGGTCTTTAACCCTGTGTCAATGAGCTGGGGTCTTTGGTGTGATTGCCCACACCGCAACTATTCCCTTTCCAATTAGGCAGCGATGCAGGCCAGGAGACCATTTTCTGTGTGTGTGTGTGTGCGTGTGTGTGAGTGAGTGTGTGTGTGTGTGTGTTGGGGCATGTTCAGGAGTGTGTGTTTGTGCAGGGAGGAGATCCTCCAAACATGGCCTGAGGTGTCCGTGATAAGCACCATTATTGTCGTTAATGACAAAGATATTGGGTTACAGATGCAGTCACATGCATGGGCGCGAGTGCACACACACACTGTGACGACCCCGTCCTCTTTTCTGGTCATTTCTTGGTGTGTCTGTTTTCTTTTAGGTTTTTCCAGGTAGATGGGTGGAGCTACTAATTGGATGTGCACCTGGAAGGCTGGGCCCAGGTTATTTAGCTGGCTCCTCCTTCTCATTCTTTCTCTCTCCGACCATTTCTCAGAGCACCTGCTTCCTGTTTGGTTTGTGATATTTGGTTAGAAAATAAATATTTTTGTTTTAAGTTACTTAAAAGTGTGTGGTCTCCCATTTTTGTCTTGCTCTCTGAGCCAGGGCTATGACAAAATGGGGGCTCGTCCATTTAATTTGGAGAGATTGTAGACTTACTATTTAGTAGGTTTCAGTCAGTTTGTGCCAGGTTGTGATTTGGTTGGAACTGTTTGTACAGGGTGGTAGATTGTCAAGTTGCTGCTCTGTGTTTTGTTTCTGGTACATTTGTTGGGAGATTCACACATGTTTAACTGGTTTTAGGTTTTGGTAACTGGTTAGTGGAGTGAGTTGATCCACTACATTGTATATTTTCTACATTTTCCTTTGTCTTAACTGTCAAGGGAGAGCCATTATTATAGGAGTTTTTCCCTGGATAGGATAAGTGGTGGATCTTGTTTAGAAGGTTCACCTTTCTCAATTTTAGGCCGGTGGTGAACGTGGGTAGAGCAAAGCTCGGGAGCACCTCCGTGGCTGTAGGAAAGTGGCCACTTGCTAGCTGCTTTCTTTACTCCACTGGTTTCGTGTGCATAAGTACCCCCCACATGTGACTGCCAGAAGACTAGGGTTGAGTTAGCTAGTTTTGGTATTAATTAAAGTTAGATGGGAACTCTCCTTATGATTTTTGGCTTCTCTAAATACAGGTTTGCATAAGGTAAGTGTGGAAATATATTGTGGATTACACTGTACTGTTTGCTTTAACTGTATCTTTAAATCTGAGTTGTGATAATGGCTTCGATTGATGAGTTTTTTCAAGCTCCTTCTGATCACCTTCTCACCCAATACACAAAAGAACAGCTTTTAAAAATAGCTGATAATTATGGGGTTGAGATTGGTGATAAAAGGTTAAAAGAAAATATTAGAACCATTTTGAAGACAAACTTGGTGGAGTCTGGAATCCTTAAAAGGGAGGAATTTCAGGCCCAAGGAACCAATGCAACATTGAATTTTGAACAACAGAAAGAATTGTTAAAAATGCAATTGGAATATGAAAAACTTAAACAGGAAAGAGAACTTGAAGTACAGTTAGAACTTGAAAAAATGAAATTTAAAACTGAACAGACCAAATTAGAGTTGGAACATTATAAGCTGAATCTGATTAAAGACGGTAAGCTTAATGAGTGTTCAGGAAGGGACAGTGTAGGGTTTAGTGAAACGTCTTCTAGATCTGATTTAAGCACAAAGTTAAAGATGGTGCCAAAATTTAATGAGAGAGATCCTGACACATTTTTTTCGTTGTTTGAGCGGGTTGCGGAAACTTGTGAGTGGTTAGACACAGAACGCACTCTGTTGTTGCAATGTGTGTTCACTGGAAAAGCACAGGAAGCATATTCTGCATTAAGTTCAACAGATAGTAAAATATATGTTAAAGTGAAAGCTGCTGTATTGAAAGCCTATGAGTTGGTACCTGAAGCCTATCGACAACATTTCAGGGGTGTGAGAAAGCGAGAGCAACAGACTCATGTGGAGTTTGTGAGGGAGATGGTTCTCCAGTTTAATCGCTGGTGTTCGGCATCAGAAGTTGTCACTTTTCAACAGCTTTGTGATTTGGTAACACTTGAACAATTTAAAAACTGTGTACCAGACAGTGTTGCTACTTATTTAAATGAAAGAAAAGTTAAAACACCCCATGAAGCAGCGGTGCTGGCCGATGAGTACATCCTCACTCATAAAAGTACATTTGTTGACGACAAAGTTGTTGTGCAGAATAGTGGTTCGGTACGCACAAGCAAATCTTTTCTGTTACATGGGGAGTCTGGTTCCTCTAGGTTCGATCGTGGCTGGAAGAAAGGTGATCCCAGTAAGAATTGTAATTATTGTCAGCGTAAGGGGCACTGGAAAAATGATTGTCCTGTACTTAAAAGAAAATCTAAGTTCTTAGGTAATGCACAGGTAAAGCCAGCTGCTTTAGCTGCTTCAGCCCAGAAAAAAATCCAAATACATAGTTCCAATGACCTCTGTCCTGTGGCAGAGTCAAATGAGGATGATGACTTTTCAGCCTTTATTTCGGATGGTTATGTCTCCCTGTGTGGAGAGAAGGTGCCTATTAAAATCTTGAGAGACACTGGGGCAAAACATAGTTTTATCTGTGAGTCTGTCCTTCCTTTCTCCTCATATTCAGATACTAGGAATTTCATATTGATGAGGGGAATGGGCATGACTATGGTTCCAGTGCCAGTACATAAAATGGAATTGGTTTCTGGTTTTGTTACTGGAGAGGTGGAAATAGGTGTCCGTCCAGCCTTGCCTGTTGAAGGGATCGACATGATTCTTGGCAATGATCTGGCAGGAAGTAGAGTTTGGGCTGATGATCCACCTTATGTTGTCACTCAGGTTCCTGAATTGCCACGATCACAAACAGAGGTGGTGGAAACAAATGAGGTTTTGTCTGAAGTGGAATGGTTTCCAGTATGTGCAGTAACTCGAGCAATGGGGCGGAGAAAAGATGAGGCTGCAGAGCAGGACGTAGCTGAGTCTAAAGTAATGGTTGTCCCTGTGCCTCTTGATTCCATCTCTCATGGAGAGTTGATTGAGGAACAAAAGTCTGATCCTTCAATAAAAGCACTTTTTGAGTTGGTGTCTCCTATGGAGGAGATGGAAACTGCAGCTCAGGGATATTTTGTGAAAGATAATGTCCTGGTTCGTAAATGGTGTCCCCAAACTGACAATTTTGTGGGAAAATCAGTGGTGCAAATTGTGGTGCCTGCCAAATTTAGAGAGATGGTGATGAAAGCCTCCCATGATGGTGTAGCAGGACACATGGGGGTTCAAAAAACATATCACCGGATCTTGTGTCATTTTTTTTGGCCACGATTGAAAAAGGATGTATCGGCATACATAAAGACGTGCCACACTTGTCAGTTGACGGGTAAACCTAATCAGACTATAAGTCCAGCACCATTGTACCCTGTACCAGCATTAGGTCAACCGTTTGAGTACTTGATTATGGACTGTGTAGGTCCACTACCTCCTTCAAAATCTGGTAGCAAGTATTTGTTAACGGTGATGTGTCAGGTTACTAGGTATCCTGCAGCTTATCCGTTGCGCTCCATCACGACCAAATCGGTAGTGAAGGCATTGTCACAGTTTGTTTCTGTGTTTGGCATCCCCAAAGTGATTCAGACGGACCAAGGTTCCAACTTTTGCTCTAAACTGTTTTCACAGGTTTTGCAGCAGCTCCAAATTAAACATAATCAAGCATCAGCATATCATCCTCAAAGTCAAGGTGCTTTAGAACGTTTTCATCAAACTCTCAAGTCACTCTTGCGTGCTTATTGCACGGAGCTTGATCGTGACTGGGAGGAGGGTTTACCGTGGTTGTTGCTGGCTGCGAGAGAGGTAGTTCAAGTGAGCACTGGGTTTTGTCCAAATGACTTAGTTTTTGGGCATTCAGTGCGTGGTCCTGTGGCAGTTTTACAAAGTGGTTGCCAACAGTCGGAGCCACCATCAAACTTGATTGATTATGTCAACGGTTTTAGACACAGACTATATCTAGCGGGGAAAATGGCAAAACACAGTTTAGAAAAATCACAAAAGAAGATGAAATCACTGTTTGACCGAAAAGCCAAACAGCGGCAGTTCAATCTGGGTGATCAGGTCATGTTATTGCTGCCGGTTGTAGGTTCGCCATTTCAGGCGAAATTTGCTGGTCCATTCCCGATTAAAAAGCAAGTTTCTGAGCAGGATTATTTGATTTCAATGCCAAATGGAAAATCAAAGTTGTGCCATGTAAATTTGTTAAAGCCATATTGTGCTCGTATGTCGCCATCTCCTAGTCTCAAGGAGGCCCCTTGTG